TCTTCATGCTACCTTCACCCTGAGAGAGACAGAGACAGGGAGAGACAGACAGAATGGGTTAGCAGCCCCTGCACGCTCCCCTGCCCGTGGAGCCCATCTAGGAAGTGGGTTTGAAAGTGGTCCAAGTGAACAGACTAGGTCGTGATGACACAGGGCATAATTGGCCGGATGACTGAGCTGCACCCACTGGCTCCTCCAGCAGCCCGGGAGTTAGCTCATGGCTGGCACAGCCTCCTTCGCCGAAGCCACCCTGGGCTGGAGTGAGCCAGGAGCGTGTTCGGGCAGCAGTCCTCCCAGGCAGCGCAGGTCCCCGGGCGCTGGCTTGTCTCTACCACAATAAGGTGGATGTGCCCCTGAGGCTTGTCTTCTGTTGCGGGAAATTTCGTGTCCCCCAGCAGCTGGGTGGCCTGCCTGGCAGAGCACGCCCGGGCCTGGTGGGATTAGGGTCTGACCTTGTTTTTCTGGGCGCCTGGTTCTGCCAGCATCCTTTGGCTTTCCTCCCCAGGCTGTCTGCCTTTGCAAGGCTCAGAGGGAGAGAAAATGTGTTCCCCAGCAGCAGGAAGGACTTAGGTTAGATATAAAGCAAGCCCCTTCGCCCAGGTGTTGGAGGGCTCTTCCTCCCAGTGCCTGTGCTCCCAAATCCCTGGTTTGTGCAGAGGAAAGGGAAGTCCCTACTGCCCTTTCAGACCAGAGAGCCGTCCAGGGCTGGCTTCTGCTCCCTGCACCCAGCTGAGTGCCCACTAAGTGCCCACATCCCTGTGGTGACCTGAGTCGTGACATTCCAGCTCAGCTCCTAGCAGCCTAGCTGGAGGGCAGGGGAAGCAACTCCACAGGGGCTCTCGGGCACCAGGGCATCCAGAGGGCCAGTGATCCCTGGGACACCACCTAAGGACCAGGAGAATGGAGAACGGATCCTGTTTCAGCAAATCCGCACCACCTGAATGTGCTGGGGGCCGTGGGAAGCAGTCTAGGGCTCCGTCCCTGCCTGCTACAGGTGACCACGCACCTCAAGTGGCAAGTCCCTGACTCAGGGTGCTCCACACCCCACACATGCCTTGATGCTAATAATAATCCTCAGGTGGGTACAGATCTTCAAAGGTTGTGGAGAGCTTTCATGCACCAGATTCCAGCTGATCCTCCCAGCATCCTCATGAGGCGGGTTGAGGTAGGAAGCCCCCTTGTACAGAGGAGGAAACGGAGGCCAAGAGGAGAGAGCTGAGCCCCAGCACTGGGTTTCTGGGGAGCACATCTGGGGCCAGAGCTGAGGCATTCAGCCCCCCTGCCTTTGCTCTTACCATGTGGATAACACACTGTCAAAGCTGGTGACTCCCGGGGCCCTGAGCTGTGGACAGGGGTGTTTAGAATAGGAGCAGGGAGGGAAGTGAGTGGGGCTATGGAGAATGGTGTTTTCCTAAGCTGGGCTTTTCTTCTCCTTCTTGTGGCAGACCTGCTAGTCACCGCTGCATGATGAGACTCTGAGGGGGAGACCTGAACATCTGGGGGGAGGTGGGGCCGATCGACGTCATCTCAGTCAGCTTCGAGGGAAGGATGCAGGGTGCAGGGAGTGGCTCAGGCCACCAAGCAGGTCTGGGACGAACGGGGTGACTGGTCAGTGCAGCGCAGAGTAGTTTATCTGGTCACATGACTGATGTAGCACTGATAGGTTTCACCATCTTAAGAATAATAGTTTTAAAGTATAACTTTGTCTAGGGCTTACCGTAGAGCAGGCACCATGGGAAGGGCTCGATATTTGTTACTTCAATCCTTGAAATGGTTCATGAAGCTGATATTATTACCATCAGGGCCAGCTTCATGAGCAAGGGACCTGGGCAGCCCCACTGGGCCCCATGCCTGCATAAATGCTCTGCAGTTGCCATCTTGAAATTCTTAATACTTTTCCACAAGGAGCTCTGCATTTTCATTTTGCGCCGAGCCCAGCAAATTATGTAGACGATCCTGGTTATCCCCTCTTCTTAGAAGAGGACACAGAGGCACAGAGTGGTTGAGAAGGGACATGTCCAAGATCACAGAACGGGGTGCCCTTGCGGGGGGCTGTCTAACCTCTGGAGTAGACAGAGGCCAGCCAGAGTCCAAAGACTGTACCCAAATCCGGCTGCCAGCACCTGTCTGTGGTCAGGGGTGACTCACTTCACCCCTCCCCACCTCGATTTTCTCATTTGTGAAACGGGGCGATCCCACCTGCTCCTCGGGGCCACTGGGAGGCTTGAGAGAGAGGATGCATACACGGGTTCTTTCACACACTCCCTAAGCTCAGCAGATCAAAGGATCCTCATTAGCTGACTCACAGTGCATTGGCGCTCCTGTTAATGCCTCCACGTCTTTCTGACACCGTCTTCACAGGCCTTCTCTGGATTGCTTTAGAAACCGCCGATTAAAATAACTCCCCCTACGCTTGGAGGCAGCCTCATAAAGTCATGGAGTCATAGCTCTTTCCCACTCCAAAGGGAAGACCCTTCCCTAACAGGTTCTCCCTCCAGCCACAGCTGCCCCTGCCTTCTGCAGTGAAGTGTGCAGCTCAGGGAGAGAACAGTCCGTGTCATCTGCTCACACAGCTGCGGTGTGGAGGGAGCACTACTTACAGTTTGTCTGCAATGAGATCCTCTCCACAAAGCTTCACTGGAAACCATCAGAGCTCCCCTGCCTGGGGGGGGAAAGAATCCTGTAAGGTAGAGCCACCCGAGGCACATTCAAAACATTCTGGCACCTCAGCAAAGAGGCCTCCGGTGCCTGGGAGGGGCTGCTAATAGGTCTTTAGATTCTGAGAGATTCTAAAGAAGCCTGTGTGACCTTGAAACTGCACAGGAAGCCCCTCCTGAGAACACCCAGCATTTGCAAGCATGCTACACCTGCAGAAAGTGTGTACGAACCTTAGTTCTGCCAATCCCCCAAACCTAGGAGATTGGTATTATCACCCCCATTTTATAGGCAAGGAAACTGAGGCTCACCAAGCCTGACAGCACCTACAGTTCGGCCATCTGATCCCTAGTCTAGTGTTTCTAGCTCAAGACCAGTGGTTCCCAGCCCTGGCCGCTCACTCACATCCCCTGGGGAGCTTTAAAAACATGCTGATGGCCGAGTGCCGCCCCAGATTAATTGAATCAGAACCCCTGGGAGTGGAGCCTGAAAATTCATTTTTGTGGAAGTTCCTCTGAGGATTCCCATCTGGGTGGCTAGAGGTGAGAACTAGGTTTCTCTGCCATTAGTTGGGATAGAATATTCCTCCTCATTCCTCAGGGATGCCCCCAAATGGGCAAGGCTCAGAGCATGGGGAGGACAGCCAGACTTCCTTTGGTCAGATTGAGTTGCAGGCGGGGATTATAGAAACAGTCCAAAAAAACAGCAAGCTCTGTTCTTCTTCTTCTTTTTTAAGATTTTATTTATTTGAGAGAGAGCACAAATGGGGTGAGGGGCAGAGGGAGAAGCAGACTCCCTGCTGAGTAGGGAGCCCAACATGGGGCTCGATCCCAGGACACCCTGACCTGAAGGCAGACACCTAAATGACGGAGCCACCCAGGTGCCCCCAAATTTTATTTATTTGAAAGACAGAGAAAGGAGAGGAAGAGAGCATGAGCAGGGGCAGAGGGAGAAAAAGAGGAGTAGACTCCCCACTGAGCAGGGAGCCTGATGCAGGACTCAATCCCAGGACCCTGGGGTCATGACCTGAACCGAAGGCAGACGCTTAACCGACTGAGCCACCCAGTCTGTTCTTCTTGAACATCTCCATTGCTGGGTGGGAGAAAAGCCCCAGAGCTTCCCTGGGGGGCTGAGTCTATGTTTTTACTTTGCCCCTGCCCAACTCTCTGCCTCTTCCTATGTCTATCCACCAACACCCTGTGCCCAGTTCCCATCACCCAAACAAGTAATCAGAACTCTTAGTTTTAGTTTTTCTCCTTGCAGAGATCTTTTCAGGCTCATAGAAGTCAATAAAAATCTGTCCCTTCTCCTTTTCCACACCAACAGTGTACTCTCCAGACTATGAATGTCTTGTTTGTTTTTTTCGTGTTAGCTTTATCTTGGACATTATTCCACATGAATTCATTCTTTTTCTGCATGCCCTCAGCACATGTTTTTAAAAGATCACCCTGAGAACCAAGGACTTCTCTCCTTGGTTCAAGTCAAATGTCCTGGACCCCGTGGGCGCAGGGATGAGGCTGGGAGGCTGGGGTCTCTCACTCAGACTCAGAGTTCCTTCTCTACCCTGTGCTCAGACCACCTCCCCAGAGATGGGAAGGCCAAATCCAATGAGAGCCATGCCCTTGTCCATGAGGCGCTGCAGTGCGGGCATTTTAGGTAAATGTGGGAACCATCTTTCTAGAACGGTGAGTCGCAATCCTCGCTCGGTTTAACAGTCCTCCTTGAGGGAGGTCGGCTCTTCCCTCAGCCATTACAGGTTTATTTGCTTCCTCCTTGGAAGAAGTGAGGTAAGGTGTTGTTCTTAGAGGAAGAAGCTTAGAGTGTGCAGTAAGACCTGGAAGAGCCAGCGCCTGAGGACAGGGGCTGTGGGGGGCGGGGCAGGGCGGGGCCAGCTGTGTCGGCCTGGGGACCCACAGGTTGCTGTCCCTCAGAGGAGAGACCTGACCCTTCAGAATCAGACAACCCAGCCTTGTCCTCGCTAAGGAGCTCCTCGCCAGGAGCTCTCTGGTGAGTCATTCAACCTCACAGAGCCTCAGGTTCCTTGCATGTAAAATGGGGACAGAAAGAAGTAACTTATAGACTTGCCTTGGGGACTGAATGTGATAATGGAGGTGGAATCATTTCATTAGACGGTGAAACACTGTACAGAGCATTGATTTATTATTAACTTCTCTGCGTTGAGTTAAGGCTTGAAATCGCCTCACTTCTCGTCCTGAGTGAGCAATCGGCAGCCGGGTCACCTAACCTCTCTGAGCCTCAGTTTCCCCTCCTGAGGAGCTCAGGAACGTTGCAGGCCTCCTGCCAGGGGAGGGATTAGGACTGACATCATTTGCATCCTTCCGCAGGGCCTCCTCCAACCAGCCGGCAGCCTCTCACCGCCTGCCCTTGCCCGTGAGGAAGGGAGCTGAGTCCTGTTTCCCCCGCTGATCCGCCCGCACCTCCAGTACTTCTTGGCAAATCTGCCCCCAAAGATTCCTGCTGACGCTTGTCTGTTCCTGCCCTTTTGTGAACATGGCACCCACAGGACTCCGGGAAGAATCTTAAATCCTGAGCCTCCACAGCGGCTCTGGAGGGCATTCCGTGTGGCTCATCCACCGTCCCTGTCAGCTCCGGGAGCTGCTCACATCCCAACAATGCCCTCAGGAGCCCCGACCCCAGCTGGATGAGACCATTCCTGAGTGGGACCCAACCTTGCCACCTACCAAGATTCCCACACCGCCCCCCACCACCTCCCACGCCCGGCTGCCCCAGCAGACTCTAGAATGTCTATGCCTCAGATCCAAGTAGAAGAAGTGGCAGGTGGGCAAGAAGAGACTGCAGGAGAAGCCCTGCCTCCCGACGACCACCTCCGGAGCCTGAAGGCTCTCACTGAGAAACTGAGGCTGGAGACCCGAAGGCCCTCCTACTTGGAATGGCAGGCCAGGCTGGAGGAGCCAACATGGCCCTTTCCGAGGCCAGCTGCTGAGCAGGGGGAGCATGGGGAGGAGGAGCCCTCATCCCCGGGGAGAGAGCCCAGGCAGCATCCCCCACCTAACGGGAGTGCCAGCCAGGACACTGGGCCCCAGCCCACCGGCAAGTTGGAAGGCTTTGAAAGTATCGACGAAGCTATAGCCTGGCTCAGGAAGGAACTGGTAAGAACCCCCAGAAAAGATGCCATTCTCTCTCTCTATCTCTATCTCTCTGTCTCTCCCTGTCTCCTCTGTCTTTGTCTCTCTTTATCTCTCTCTCTCTCCCCCATCTCTGTCCTTCCCAACTGCACGTCTGTCATTGTCCTATTAAATCAAGGGTGGACCTCATTACTATGTAGTTACAGGAGATCCACATGCCAGTTAGCCCCTAGTCACAGGTACTTATGGAGGAACTGTGTTTAAGGAGCTGCCCATAGGTTGGTGTGGTTGATGGGGCCTAAAAGCTTTGGGCTAGGTCTCGGAGGCTGAGTGGTAGTCTGTCCAGAAGTCAGGAGCTGGGGGGGCATCCGAGGGAATGAGCATGAGCAATAGGTACGCTTGGGGCTGGGGGGGCAGCAGCTTGACCTTTTCTCTGCCCAGGGGCCCAGCAGGCTCCCAGCAGGCTCCCAGCAGGGACATCTCTAGCATGTGGGAAAGGGAATGGGTGTTCAGAGCTTTGTGCCCATAGCCCAGGGGAGAATCACTGGTCCCAGGCATAGGGCTCCTCGGCAAAGTTGGGCACAATGCTAATGCTCCCCGTGATCTCAACTCCTGCCCCTCCTCATCACCTGTGGCCCAGGTCACACCTGCCCAGCCAGGCCACTCTAGCCACAGGTGAGCCAGCAACCAACGGCCAACCGCCTTCGAGAGCCACTCATAACTCCTGTGTCAACAGGTTAGGCAGAGGCCTCCCCGGTTTGTTCTGCAAAAGCCCGAAAAACAGATCCCATTTGGGGCCTAGAATTCCTCATGGGTTGAAATAAATCATTGGGGCAGGGGGAAGGGGAGGCTCAGGGACTCAGGTGTTCTGATGCATTGGAAATCTTTTTCGGTTTTCATGTTTGAGGTTTAATGTTGAAACTACTTCCCAAAACACACCACTCCACGACGTCTGTCTTTAGTAACTGGAGTGTCAGTTGGCTTGCATAGCAAATGGGGCATCTGTGGATTCAGGCTGGGTCTCTGGACACTCCACTGCCACGGGGTGCTCTTGGGGGGTTTAAGAGGTGAGTTGAAAGGGACACGCGGTGGGCCTGGCTCTTTAAAGCTGCTCCTTAAACTCCTGAGGCTGAACTGCTTTAGTTGGTTTTCACAAAGAGAGCAAAAATATCCCCATCAACCAAGGATTCAATTACTAGGCTCTGGGTCCATTTGAAGTTTTATTGCTTCTGGGAGGGGAGGCCTTTGCTTTCGAAATAAATTAGCATTCCTCATGGGCCCCCTTTTGGGGTAGAGCGTAGAGAAGGTATTCCTTGCGTGTGAACCAGGAGGGAGTTCTCTAGAGCTTGTCCTCCTCATCCTCTAGATGAGGGAGGTGTCTCTTAACCCCCGCTGCATATTAGAGTCACCTGGGAAGACTTAAAGGGTCCCAGAACCTAGACGCACCTCAGATCAATCAAATGAATGTCAATGGGTGGGCCCCAGGCATCAGTAGATTTTAAAGTCCCCCCCCCACCCCCTCTCTACCCCTGGCGCTTCCAAACACAGCCTAGGTTGAAAAGCATTGCTATAGATCTGCAGGCTGTGCCCCTTTGCCTTGACCAGCCATTGCAAGCTAAGCCGCATGAGTGCCCGGGCCGGACTACATGCTGAGAGAAAGCAGGTGGGCCAGGTCAAGGACAACCATGGGTAATGTAGAGAGCAATGTTCTGTAGGCAGAGAGAGAAGCGCTAATTGTCAGGACTTAACTCGGCTGCCAAAGGCTGTCTGAAGTAAGTACAGGGAATGTCAGCATTAATAATGCTTTATATTTGCATGATATTTTCTTTTTTTTTTCATATACGGTGTAGTAGGTTTTTCCCCTAAGTTTTTATTTAAATTCCAGTTAACATACAGTGTAATATTAGTTTCAGGTGTATAATATAGTGATTCAGTACTTCCATGCATCAGCTGGTGCCCATCACAAGTGCCCTCCTTAATCCCCATCACCTATTTCGCCCATCCCCCTAACCCCTCCCGTCTGGTAACCATCAGTGTGTTCTCTATAGTTGAGAGTCTGTTTCTTGGTTTGCCTCTCTCTCTCCTTTTTTCCCTTAGCTGGTTTGTTTTGTTTCTTAAATTCCACATATGAGTGAAATCATATAGTATTTATCTTTCTCTGGCTGACTTATTTCACTTAGGAGCATACTCTCTAGTTCCATTCATGTCATTACAAATGGCAAGATTACATTCTTTTTATGGCTGAATAATATTCCATTGTATACATACATTCACCAGTCAGTGGACACTTGGGCTGTTTCCATAATGTGGCTATTGTACACAGTGCTGCCGTAAACATCGGGGTGCATGTATCCCTTCAAATTAGTGTTTTTGTAGTCTTTGGGCAAATACCTTAGTGCAATTGCTGCATCGTAGGGTAGTTCTATTTTTAACTTTTTTTTTAAGATTGTATTTATTTATGTAAGAGAGGGAGAGCAGGGGATGGAGGTGAGTAGGGGGAGAGGGACAAGCAGACTCCTCATTGAGCATGGAGCCCAATGTGGGGCTCAATCTCCCGACCCTGAGATCATGACCTGAGCTGAAACCAAGAGTCAGAGGCTTTACCCAACTGAGCCACTCAGGAGCCCCTCTATTTTTAACTTTTTGAGGAAACTCCATACTGTTTTCCGGAGTGGGGGCTGTGCCAGTTTATTTGCATGGTATTTACCACCCTTCCCACCATTTCTCTGTGCTACCGGGGATGGGTAATAATAGTAATAATAATAATAATAATAATACCGAGATTTGTCACTAATTGAGTGTGTTGTTTGCCACACACTTCACATGCATTACTTACCTCTTTTGATTGTCACATCACTTTCCTGTCAACCCCATTTTACAGAGGAGAAAAGCGAGGCTCAGAGAGAGAGTCAAAATTTGAACTCTGGCCCATCTGGTTGCGTTGCCCATGCTCTTCTTAGCCACCATGCTATGTAGTATCTTCCAAAGGCAATGGATCTTGCTGGGTGATTCCTAAAAATGTACATTCACAAAGATGCCAGCAGTGAAGAGAATGCATGGGAGTGGGGGCCAAGGAAGAAATAAGACTGAACGAGAGTCCCAGTCCTCACACCATTATTTCTTTGTCTTACGTCAGACCTATATGATTGCTGTCACTGTCTCCATTTTACAGATGAGTAAAGTGAGGCTCATAGAAGTCAGATGCCCTGTGTAGGGTTGTATGACTAGGAAGTGCCAGAGCCAGAGCTTGAACTCAGCCTTCACCATTGAGAGTGGAGAGCTATGGGGAGAGAAGCAGGAGAGCTGGCCCTCCCACAAAGGGCCCAGTTGGGCATGCTGAACGAGCAACGACAGGGGTGGATTTGTCCTCCAGAAATCCCTCTGGAGCACTTCTTAGAGCAGTGACTCCCAAACTAATGTGCATACAGATCACCTGGCTCTCCTGGTAAAATGAAGATTCTGATCCTGTTGGTCTGGGACGGGGTCCATGATTCCAAATTTCCAACAAGTTCCAAGGTAATGCTATACTGCTGGTCCACGGACCACACTTTGAGAAGCAAGGACTGAAAGGCAGGCAGGACTGGGTCCAGGGAACCAACAAGGGACCTCAGAGGGAAGCCCCAGGGATCCCCACGCCTGCACCCTGAGCTGAGCTGCTGCCATAGCTGCCCTTTTGGCTCAGGGCTCAGTCAGTACATGGGCCTGTGGGAAGGAAGTCCCAGCATCCCACACCGAGTTGTCCAAGAACAAGATCATCAGAGATTGTATGTCTGAGCTCAAAGCAGCTCAAATGCAGACTGGCAGGCTGGCCAACTTGAACATGCAGTTCTGCCCACTTCGCTTCCAGATTAAACAGTAACAAAGGCAACTCGTAAAATCCTTGGACTGGATGGAAAACACGGAGTTCGACATCTGCACAGCAAACGCATTCTCACATTTTTAGAATTTCAGTCAAAACACTTAACTTCATGTCATTTGTTTTCCTAATTTGTCATCTGTCAACTCACTGCAGGTGTCATTAAAAATTAACCTGTTTTGGGGGGCCTGGGTGGCTCAGTCATTAAGTGTCTGCCTTCGGCTCAGGTCATGATCCCGGGGTCCTGGGATGGGGCCCTGCTTTGGGCTCCCTGCCCAGCGGGGTGTCTACTGCTCCCTCTCTCTCTCTCTCTCAAATAAATAAATCTTTAAAAAAAAAAAAATTAACCTGTTTAAAGAACCCAGTGAAAGTAGTTTCAGATAACCTTTGTTTTATTTTAAGCCCAGAGTTAAGTTGTCTCTGTAGCTGGGTAGGCTCATAGGCAAATTTGTCTTTTCTCCCCATGTGGCTAAGGTAGCAGATTAAAAATCTGTAATTCAGACAATGGGGTGGCTGCTTTCCCTCCAGGAGGCCAAACCCTCAGTTTGTTGGAAGTTTTGGCTCCGGAGTAGGTTGTACCCAGTAGAGGGCAGGCCCCGGACAGCTCTGTGATTACCACAGGGCTGTCCCAGGAGCTGTTGATAAAACCAGTGAGGCCTTGGTTATCATTGTTGACCCTTTCAGAGGCAGGCCAGGCTGGGTCTGGACAGACAGGCTAGTCCACCCCCTGTCTCCTACGAGGCCAGCTCAAAGGCAGAGAGTGACTGCCTGAATCTTATTTCCAAGGCAAGAAAGGATCCTAAGAGCTCCCTTGGGGGTTCACTCTCCCTCTCTGCTCTCACCACAGGGAAAATGACAAGTCACTCCTGACATGCTCCAGGGACTTATAAGTAGGGCAGACACTTCCTCCAGTCTCATGTGTTGGAGGATACGAGGAAGGTGGAGATCCTCAAACCCTGTTGGCATTACTCCTCCAAGCTAGGAAGGCCTGACCTTTGGCTTCCCCAAGTATCCCGGGCCCCTGTCTCCATCTGGCTATGGCAGGCGGGGCTACGGCCTCTGTGTGCAGGGGACGGACCCGGAGCTCAGTCCAGTGGCCATGGTGCATCTCTGCTTGTTCCAGACTGCTTATGGTGGCAGAAAGTCCCAGCCTCCAGCAACTTGCGTT